CACTTGAGAAGCCCTGTACCAGGCATTGCCTAGGAGGTTGTTATACATCATTACAGACTTATTATAACATGGACTTACTCATATACATTACATATATACTTCATAGCAAATGTATCAGAAATCAGATTCTGTTTTGAAATATGGTAATTTCAATGTACATAAAGGCAAAATATATTATAAGACATAGGACTTCCACAAAGGTAAAATTGATCTTTTTTTGCTCAATTAAAAATATATTTCAAGTTTATGGATTTTTTAAATGCTATTGCTTAGCTTAGATATTGCCGATCATGAAGTAAGCTCTGTAGGTGATAGGTACTTAAGCAGAAACGTGTCCCTTGTTCTCCATGACACAGAGCAAATACACGTTAGCCTCCCGACTGCAGAGGTGAGTGCCAGAACTTTCCCTCCAATACCTACGTTATGCCCTTGGCGATAGAAAACAATGTGTGGATCTGAGCTGAATTCCTTGCCAGGGAGTACTTTACCATTTCTTGAAATGTTTACCTCCTTTTTTTGGAATTTCTGGTTTACACTGTATCTGGGAAAGACAAAAGGAGTTTAGAAATAGTCCTTTTATTTCTCATTGAATACAATAGCTTGAACATAAAAATTCAGTCTTAATCTCCTTTGTTACCAGGAATTTTCTCATTATATTTCTTGTCACAATTTTTATTGCAATTATGAACCATCTTCTAACCGTATAAAAACAGTCTTGTCATTTTACACTGTTATAATCCATCTCCTTATCAAAGAGGGGGTTGGTAGTGACCGACACTATTAGGAAACCACTGGGGATTTCGACTTGCCCCTCGAGGTGAGCCAGGCTTCCCTGGAGGGCTGTCCGCTCCCCTTGCCTGAGCTGTGGCAGCGACCTCACAGGCAGACAGAAATCTGCTGTCCCGGAGAGAACTGTGGGCCTGGTCCTCCCCTGATAGCTATCTGCAAGGTTCGCTTTCCAAGACTCTGGCAGTGACTTGAATGTTTACATTGTTAATGCTCGGAGCACAGGTAATGGCAGATTAAAACATGAACGGCATGGCCAACAGAAACAAAGGTCTATTGATAAGGATCACGTCTTCATGACAGAAGACAAGGAGGCAGAGACGAGGCTTCAGGGGATAGAGTTATTGGGGCAAAGAAAAGGAAAATGGGAAGGGTAATGCGAGCCTTTAAAAAGTGCTTGATGGTAAGGAAAGAATCCCTCAGGTCCCTTCTGGTCTCATTGCTCTCATAAATCAGAAGCGTAATCAGATGAGGAATAGATACAGTGTTCCTACAGTTCAGAGTGTCCTCTTCATTTACATGGAATAGTAAAAAGCAGTGAGGCTGAAAGTTTTAGTGAATTACATCACTTGAATTAAAAAGTATTTTGCACTCATATATTAATAACACGGTAGACTTCTGTAGTCAGTTCCTCTAGTTGGAATTGAGTATCCAGCATTCTTTTTGGTTTTCTGCAAATTCAGGCTTTGTGCTTAGAAATGCATTTTAAGCTAAGTCTCCAGAGATAGCATTTGCACATGTATGTGCCATGGTATTTGCACACCTGCATATGGGAACTTGTGAATTATGCTCTAACTGGCAGAGGTATTGTGCTCACTTTGGGTTTGGTGTTAACTTTGCCTGTAACCTGAGGGAAGGAGGAGTAGGGGGACATGGACTAAGATGTTTCGTTGTGTGAACACTCAGCCTACCTAATCTCAAGAGCCTACAAATTATTTTCAAGATTTCCTAAGCAACACTCTTCAGCTGATCCATGTGCTAATTATACCTGGTTCCTAGTAGCACTAAAGCCTGGAAGGCTTTCAGACGGGCTCGGTGGTGAGTCCGGTCCCCAAACGTTTTTTTCTGGACCATTGGCCATGTCTCTGTGTGTGTTCGTAGAAAACTGCTTGTTTTTAACAGGCTCTCGTTTAGTCTTTTCAGATGCAGACTATTTCCAATATTTGGGAAGTAGTTCAGATCATAACTAATTGTTAAAGTTATTACTTTAGACTGATGAGTAAATCATAACATTAACCATCACACTATTTGGCCATGAAATTAATAGAAAGATATGTGGACTTTAATTTATTATAAATAATCTAAACTTTGAAGTATTTCAAGGTAAGATTGATTTTTAACTTAGATGTTCATGTTAATTTCCCAATTTTTTAAATTATATTACGGTTTGGGAAGACAGCGCCCTCGTTCCTAAGAAGTGCACTCAGAAGTGTTTAGGGTAGGTACACTGTGTCTGTAATTTCAAATGATTTGCAAACTACCCATACATATATACATACATACATACATACAAATTAACATGAATACAGAACTACCCGGCCACGCATCCCTTCATGCCGGGGACCCGTTCTGAGAAATACATCGTTAGGCGATTCCATCATTGTGGGGGTGTCATGGAGCACACTTCCATGAACTAGAAGGTGCAGCCTGCTGCCCGCCGGGCAGTGTGGCGTAGGGTCTGCAGTTCCTGGGCCGCAAACTTGTGCAGCATCTCACTGTCCTGAACGCTTAGGCAATTGTAACTCGTTGCCCTGCACTGTTAGGACAGCTGCGGTGACACTAGGCAACAGGAATTTTCCAGCTTCAGTACAGTCTATGGGACCCCATCACGTATGCGGCCTTTGGCCCCAGGAGTTGTGGAGCAGCACGTAGCTGTATGTGTACATGTTTATAATACCTAGAGACATACACAAACACACATGCTAAGGAAACAAGGGAATTATAAAGCAAATGTGGTAAAATTTAAAAAATGGGAAATCTCTGTGAAGGGTATACTGGAATTCTTTATCCTTACAGATTTCCTGTAAGATTGAAATTATTTTGACATGATTAAAACATATGTTCATATTGATGGTGAAACAGAAACTGTTGCAATCTTTTTTAAAGGGATTGAGGACAGTACGTATAAAAGGCCTTAAAATATATATCTTTTGAACGAATAATTCTACTTCTGGGAATCTAGATTAAGTTAAAAAACCACTGAAAGGTATAATGGTGAATGTGTAAAGTGCTCATCATGGCAAAGATGCATTATAGCCAAACCTCCGCAGCCTCTTAAGTCCACATTATCAGAAGACGGACTTTCTAATTAGGGTGTGTCTGTATATATAATCCATAGTCTTTAGAACTAATGTTGCAGAAAAATATTTGTTTTGGAAAATGTTCACAATATTAAAAATGAAAGCTAGCTATAAAGCAATTATAGTAATTTTTCCAACTTTTTATTGTGGTAAAATACACATGACATAAATTTATCATCAACTGTTTTTAAGTGTGTGGCTCAGTGCATTGCAGATGTTCATAATGCTGTCCAGCCATCGCCACCATATATCTCCACAGCTCTTTTCACTTCGCAAAACTGAAACTCTTTACCCTTTAAACGCTGACTTTCCCAGGGCCACCCTTCCCCTGCCCACCATTGTACTTCTCATTTTGGGGGGTTCGATCGCCCTGAGTACGTTCATTGTGGAATTGTTCAGTGTTCCCCTTTGTGTGACCGGCTTGTTTCACCTACCCTAATGTCCTCACCAGTTTTCCATGTTGTAGCATGTGTCACAGTTTCCTTCCTTTTCAAGGCTGGACGATGTCCCCTGTGTGCATATACACATCTTTCTCATCCATTCATTGGTCAGTGGATCCTCCAGTCTCTTCCATGTTTTAGTTGTCAGGAAGAATGCTGTTGTGCACATGGGTGTGTACAATGCCTTCGTGTGAAATATTTTGCTCATGAATGTGTTTTGTTCCTTGAAATGACACCGCAGGGGTATACGGTAAAATGTATGAGTAGTTTTCCTAAGTACGGAGGTGGCAGTGATTTTATTTATTTTAGTTTAGTTGGTAATTTTTTTGTTTTACTTCATGCAAGATATAATACTTTTGATTGGGAAAAAAAGTGACATTGGGTGGAATAAGGGCCCCAGGCCAAGTGTTCAGATAGCCATCCAGTTAAAGGTACACAGCACAGTTGGAAAACCTCTTCTCTGTAGTAACTGAAGTCATAAATGACAAAAGCACTATTTAAAATTCAGTAACAGTAACTATACTCTCAAAGGGTATATGGTGCCCTTCATAAGAATGGTGCTAATATTATCACTATATAAGTGCACCAGGTTTTAGATCTGTGTTCTTAAAATACACACTAGCGACTACCTGCATGTAAACCACTTAGGTGATTGTAAGAAACAACAAGAAACCCTCAGAATAAACATCTCTGGGATTGAAGTCAGTAAATGTATTTCAGTATAATGCTCCACAAGTCATTTATATGATGCTTGAGAAATCATGCTGTAGGTAAATCTGATTTGTGAAGAACTCGAATTAAAACAACATGAACGATATTTAATAATTTATTCTATAAAAGGATCACACAATAATTCTCTGAGTGGGATACACCCATTCTTTTAAAATACAGTATGTTGAAAAATTCAGGTATGTATTTTTGAAGAACATCTTTGTTTAAAAGGATGCACATCCACATAGACTACATTTGGCACCATTTGAGGAATCCTATTCCTTTGTATCCCTCAGAAGATGAGTGTGTTTTATGTACAATGAATATAAATTCGTGTTTTTATACAGAGTCATGGTATAGGACACATGAGAAAAGCCCGTAAACCCATCAGCTGGATTTGAAATAAAGATGAACTATCTACTTATATCATTACATTGTAGGGCATTGATCCGTATACACATTTGTTTCTATTTTGTGCTTTATTCTCTGTCAAGCCCATTTCTTACAGCATGCTCTTGAATCAAGTACCTAGATGAATAATGATTCACGATAGTTGACATTATTTAATTTGGAGCGTGTGTGTGTGTGTATGTATGTGTGTGTGTGTGTGTGTGTGTGTGTGTGTGTTTTAGTTAGCAGATGAAAAAAGTACCTCTCATATCTTGCATATGGAATTTAGCAAACACTTTAGGGAAGAGTTGCTTCCTAATTTTTAGGTAAAAATCCTGTTTTATGAATTTCTTTGCTTTCTTTTTAATTTCAGATTTTGTTGATGCATCTGCACACCACAAAGCCTTACTTATATCTGTGACTGTTTGTAGTTTGCTCTTGGTTTTTATCATTTTATTCTGTTACTTCAGGTAAGTTTCCAACATGCTGATGTACAATTTTGAGTTTGTAATGTCTTTCTCATACTACTATCCTACCCATTGACAACCCCCAACTTCCTTTGACCTAATTAGATCTTAGATTTCACTAATAATATTAGTTACTATTAATAAATATTTGCCCTAATGAACCTATTAATAGATACCTATCTTATCTGTGTTTCGGGTATCCAAACCACCCAGGTAACTTTCACCCTTCGGGAAATTAGGGCAGTTAAGAAATTAAGGAATTAGTTGCTACTGAATTTGATTCCGAGTAGAGAATGAGCATATTGAACTTAGCATTGTTCCAGTAATTTCTTATTTCCTGAGCTAACAATTTCCCCTAATATTAAAAGATTTTTAAAGTTAATTTATAGATTACTAACTTAATTTAGTTACTACATGCAAGTTAAGTATAGTACTTACAAATTATTTTTAGCCACCTAAACACTTATTTTGCAGTTTGTGAAATATCAAGAACCTTTAAATTCATGTCACTTGCCTCTTATAACACTCATTTATAAAATTATTTTACAAATCGGAGTTGATTAAATAAATTTATTCCTTAATCATTGATAACGGGTTTTTGAAGTTTACATTTATGTAACTTAACTAGATTATTGGTCGATGTATTATCTGACATGAAAGAGTTAGCTGTAATGTCTTTTTGCACACCCAAAATTTGCATCTATATTAGTTAGGGAGGCCTCAAAGGGAAAGATTGTAGGGACTGAATATAATGGAACTATATAGAAACATTAATGGAAGGTAACCTGCTGGGAAAGAATCAATTGAAAAGCGTAGAGAAAATTGGAGATGGTTAAGATTGAGTAAAAACATGTAGTTTACCTTCACAAAATCAGTGAGGAAAGCAATGATAATTTGTATTTTGGAAACCATAACTGAGCGTAATAAATACTAGCAATATTCTTGCATCGTTTTTATGTGCTAAAACAAAAGTTGCCGTCATTAATGCTTTACCTGCCAGGTTTTGCAGGTGTCATTGCAGTTCAGTGTCTACATTGATCTTCCTCCTTGTGTCTTTAGGTATAAAAGACAAGAAGCCAGACCTCGGTACAGCATCGGGTTAGCACAGGAGACTTTCATTCCTCCCGGAGAATCCCTGAAAGACCTGATTGAGCAGTCTCAGAGCTCAGGAAGTGGATCAGGCCTCCCTCTGCTGGTATGAGAAGAACATATATTGAATTTAAAGGAATGCTTTCTGAGAGGAAATGTCAATAAATACAGGGTTTCATTTTACTGAAACAGATAGGGCAGGACAAAGATGACGTTCTGTGCAATCAGCTAGATATCAGATCTCAGATGCAGGGCTTCCAGATAACATTTTGACATATCGAGGGTAAGGTGATTGTTTTTTAATGTCAGTGTATGGTTACAATCCAGACCCTCAGACATTCTGATAAAGAGCAGATTAGAAAACATTAAACAGGGGGCCATCTTCCCTCTGTTTTCAGTAAGGATAGTGTTACTGCACTTTGGCCTGGCTTTTGAAGGCAAAAGTATTACAACCAACTGGGATCTGAGTACTTTTACAAGGAAGAAGGCTGCATTTCAGCTGGAGGGTTTATGTTTCAGGGTGAAGTCCTGGCTTTTCCATTCAGGAGAGGTTCAATTTTCGGATGGTCAACACTGCCAACCTTGGAGAAAATATATACTGAATCCAAGGCACTTGCTTTAATGAGAAAAACATTTTGTTCCTTTATGGACCATGCAAAAAAGAAATTGTTGGGACTTGGGATGGAAATAACAATTTTAATGAGAAATATTTTCCTTTATAAACTCTTAAGATTGATTTTCATAATCTTTATTGTCTGGTTCTGTCTTTGGATCTCTTGTTTACTTTATTTCTTAGGTGACCTTTTATTTAGTACTAAAGTACCTTAAAAAATGTAAGCCATGAATCTATCTTATAACATATTTTTGGACATACAAAAATCTGTGTATATTTATGCATACAACTTGAAGAGTTTGGTGATATATTCATGAAACCATCGTCACAATCTATGACATAAACAGATCCATCACCTCCCAAAATTTCCTTGTCCCCTCTTTACTTGTTCTTTTTATTATTTTATGACAAGAACACTTGACATAAGATTTAGTCCCTAGCAAATTTTAGAATGCTATTGGAGGCGTAACAGTACTGCTGTAATTGCGGGCACCGTAGGTCCCCAGGACCCACTGGTCCTGCACCGCTGAGCTCAGTCCTTGTGGCCCACACCTCCCCTGGAGGCAGCAGGCTGGGAAGGCCATTTGTGAAGGAGTCTCTGGGGCCGAGCTGGTGCTTCCTAGGATGTAAGTGTTTCTTATGTGAGTTCTTATTATCAAATTGCTTGGTCTTTTTCTTTTAGAATTAATATATATCTACTACAGTTCTTATATTTAAACATATTATTATTCATTCTTAAAAGTATAAATATTGAAATCCCCTTTGATATTAATGAATCAGATACTCATGCTCTTGGACTTGAAAACTATATGTTTTCCTCCTTTTTACCCAGCTTTCTCATTAGTGTAGAGTTATTGCCCTGAAATCTTTGACCTTAGTCTCTTACTTCCCTGGATAAAACACTGTCCTCTCCAGCAGCATTTGTGTGTCTCCTGCTTTAGCGTGGTCTGCATGGCCTTCTCCCACCTGTCCTCCGCCTGCTCCCGAAGTGCTGCATCAGCCTCCAGTAGTGGTTTCTCAAATGCACTACATCCTTACTTAACGTCGTCAATAGGTTCTGCAACTTCACGTCAAATGACTTACATCACAACTGATTTTACCATAGGCCCATTGACCAAAACAAGAGTTAGGTTCTTACAGCATCTCACCAAGATTATAACAAAATGACATTGAATGAAACAGTGCCTTTATGGGGAGATCTTCAGAGTCCTGCCTACTGGCCCACCTCACGTTTTCTCTCCGTGACCACTTACCCCAGACCGAGCCAGTCTGTCTGTCTTCTGTCATAACAGTTTGCTCATAGTACCAATACAGCCGATTAAAATACCGTAAAATTGATGGGTGTGTGTGTTTTTTGATGGACCACCATCTCTTAATTGAACATTAAGCATCGTAAGGGAGGAATCTTTGCAGCCCACCAGTTGACTAAAGGGGCTGTTCAATAATTTGTTTGAAAAGCTTTCAACTCCAACTTTTACTATCTGCGAAAATACCCTTTTTTTTTTCTATAATCCAGACACCAAAAAATAGCATTTGGTGTATATCAAAAAAGTGAGTAAGAACAGCCAGATTGCCAGACACTGGCCTTTATAAATATGATCTAATTTAATGCTCATAGCAACCCAGCAAGGCCATTCTAAACATATATCCCTGCATGATGCATCAGACACACAGGCCTAGGCAGGCCGACTGGCTGCGGTGTGGAGAGGCCTGGATTCAGACCCAGGTGATCTGCCTCTACAATCAGTGCTCTTACTGCTGGTGAGATGCAAACCAAATGTGAATTACATCACACAAAGGAATGCGGTTGGTAGGGGCCAGCTGGGAAGAGGATCCCATCTACAAAACCAGTTTAGGAAAAAAATCTCAGGATTACAGATATAAAATCTTCTTTTAGGGTAATGCAAATTGTGCTATCCATTACTATGTGAGTGAGCGTCTCACCTCAATACAAATTTGTTATATACAAGAATTTTATTAGCATAAGGGGAAAATTCATGCTTTATCTATATTTTAAATACCTTATATATATTTTATATGCCTTTATATATCAATCCTTTAAGGAAGGAATGTCAAGGTTGCTTGTAAGAATTAAGATAGCTTATGTGTCTCCCCACCATATATATGCATATATTATTTATTTGATACATAGTATGTATTCAGTAAGTAGTGACATTACTTTTCTCATTCTCTGTTTATCTGAACCTGTAAAAGAAAAGAAGCTGAAGTAAATTCTCTAATTGAATATTAAGCATCGTAAGTGAGGAATCTTTTGTGGAAAATCTTCCCAGCCTTATTAAGCGAAGTACTTTAAACTGTGTGTTTGTGTGTGGGGCTGTGTGCGGGGCTGTGTATGTGTGTGCGTGTGTTGCTGGTTCAGGGACGTGTTGGGGAGCACAGAGCGTGGAGCTGCATGCTTGCTGATGTTTGTACATGGATGGGGACTTCAACATTAAACACTACCAGCTGTCACTAGATAAGATGACGTTTCTGAAATAGTGGTACCTCCTCGTATAATACACCCAGTTGTACCCATTTTACATGAAATACATCTTCTCTTTTGGGAGTCACAATTATAGTGATTGTATTTCACAGGCTTTTTTTTTTATACAGTCAAGCCTTAAAATAGGTATATGAGATGTCATATAGAATCAAAGTTAAGGTAGAGAAAAAACCAGAAACATTTGTTAAATCAAATAAAAACTCAACTAAATCACAGGTTCAAAATTTTTCAAGTTATTTTTAGGTCCTTAGATGTTATAATAAATCTCAAGCATACCTTTAATATCTGAGTACAATTGAATGACACTTTTTATTTTGAGACCAGTTGTTCCTATTCTCCCAAGCAGTGCCGATTCTACCAGTGCTTTTGTTGGAATGTAAGATGACTCACTAGCATTAGGAAAGGAAAGGACAAAAACTGTTTCAGTCAGGAAATGCTCTGTAGATTTACTTAAGCAATGAGTTGTAGCACCTGTAAGTTCAATATAATATTTCTGTAATAAGCGTGGGAAGTTTCCTCCCCAGTCGGTAATGGAACCACTTGTCCATTTGCCTCTCAAGTGCTCAGTGCTGTGGGTGCCTCTCTTCCCACATTTGGGAGCAGACATATCCTGGCCTCTGCTCACGCAGCACATCTGACTCCGAAGGAGAAAAGCTGCTCAGCACGCACGCTCAGTTCCTCATTTCCTTTAGGCTGAATGACTTCATTTCATGGCAGCAATGCTTTTGTTTTTCAATCCCATTCTCCGAAAAGTAAAAAAAAAAATTGCCCCCCCTTTTAATTTAATATTAGGACTGTTAATGGTTATGGCAATGGATAGCACTATCTATTGAATCATCCGTTATGCAAAAACAGAACCCATCCTCGCTGGTGGACACCTGGGGTAGGCAGGATAATGTGCCCCAGCCCCCACCACCAATGTCCATACTCTTCTCTCCGGAATCTGTTGTTTAAATGGTGAAGGGGACTTTAGGTTGCTGATCCACTGACCTTGAGATGAGATTGTTCTGGATTATCTGGGTGGTCTCAATGTAATTACATGGTCCATAAAATTGCAAAAAGAAAAAAAATATTTTAAGCTTACTTGATACAAAGCATGTCTCTGAAAAGAATACATATCTGTTTTCTGATCAGATCTTATAAGAGTTTTGTGCTGAGTTCTTTAGGTATATGTCTCCCAATTTGTGTAAATTATCATTGGTACTTGGCTGTTGCAGTTACAAGTTCTTAAAATATTTTATTGTAAGCACAGAAAGGATAAGGCCATGTATAAAGACATTTAACCTCTACACCACTTAAGTCTCATATTTTCTTTTTCTTTGTCTCTGCAGTACTCTAATTCTTCAGTGTTCTCTTATTAGCTTGACCTTCTCTCCAGCTCTAATCTGTTGTTTTATACTTGTCCATTTTATATTTTTGAAGTAATAATTATTTCATTTCAAAGTATAGTTTTTATTACACTTAATTTTTTTGCTTGTTTATTTTTCATCTCACCTATTTTTTTTACATATTTCATATAGTGTTCCTTAGCTTTCTGTATCTGAAAATTCCGGCATCTGTAATCCGAAGGGGTTAAATCTATTTGGATTGTTTCTCTTGACTCTCATGTAGCGCGGCTGTTTCCTTTTGTTTTCAGGAATTTATTCTGTGGGCTCTTCTTTCCTCTCCGTCTGTCCCTCCCTCGCCTTCCCACAAGCTTGGAGATTTCCTCCTGTCAGAGCAAGAACATCCAAACCTGTAGAGAATGTTTATAGAAACTTATTTGAGCCAAACCGAGGCTACACCTAGAAGTAAGATCTTAACAAACTAAGAAAAATGCTTCTCAGAACGGCAGTGTGCAGCTTCTTCTGTGCATTAACGAGGAGAAGTACGGAGATTTACTTGAATGTAGAGAAGAAAGCAGGGCAGGGATTGATTGATAGGACAGTTAACAAGATCACGTGCTCTCTGAGGGCAGTTCTCTTCTGAGAGGTGTGGAGGAGGCATTTCCAGGTGTGTTAACCTAGATGCACGGAAACAGTGGACCCGGCTTGCTTAAGGCAACAATGAACCTTTCACTAAGGAAGTTCCATGTCTGGGGCTTGACTGCTCACCATGCCCTGCACTGTTAGGAATTCATGATCAGATCACCCTGTGAAGTTACTTGCCCTAGAACTTCTTTTTTGTCCATACTTGTGAGCCCAACAATGCATTCATTTTTGGGTTTTTTTTTGGATGTATACCCTAGTGATTAGATTATATACCTTACTGAGTGATCATTCTGTTTCTACAAGTACACACTGACATCATACATAGTTTTTAGAATATTATTGACTATGGTGTATTCCCTATGAAGCCAACCTTTTCTGCAGATTTATTTATTTGAATTAATGTTTCATATCTGTTAAAGTTAATTTGGACCTCTGCTTGGCTCATACAGCCACAAGCAGAGGCATGCGAAAGCATTTATCACACAGTACTTCAAACATCTTAGGACATAATTCTCTCCCTTTGCCTTGTAGTTGATTTGAGAATAATGAACATGGCTTTGCATCCCAGTGCCTGGGCCAATGATCAATAACTTTTTCTTTTTTTTTTTTTAAGTGATAAAAGTTGTATTTTATTTTTTTTATAATAAATTTTATTTAGTTACTTTTCAAGTACATTTTTTATCTATTTCTCCCATCCCACCCCCCCCGCCCCGTCTCCCCCCTCCCTCCAACTCCCCCCCCCCAGTCCTCATCCCTGTGTCTTTCATATTTGTTCCTCAAAATCCCTCCCCCTTTTTCCCCTTAAATTCCCTTCCCTCTCCCCTCTGGTCTCTGCCCACTTGTTCTCCATTTCAGTGTCTTTGTTTTTATTCTGTTTGCTTGTTTGTTTTGTTGTTTAGCTTCCTGTTAAAGGTGAGATCATATGGTATTTGTCTTTCAATGCCTGGCCTATTTCACTCAGCATAATGCTTTCCAGTTCCATCCATGTTGTTGCAAAGGGTAGTAGCTCCTTCTTTCTCTCTGCTGCATAGAATTCCATTGTGTAAATGTACCACAATTTTTTGATTCATTCATTTACTGTCGGGCACCTAGGTTGCTTCCAACTCTTGGCTATTGTAAATTGTGCTGCTATGAACATTGTGGTGCATAGGTTCTTTGAAATTGATGTTTTAGGATTCTTGGGGTATAATCCTAGCAGTGGAATCGCTGGGTCAAAAGTCAGGTGGATTTTAATTTTTCTGAGAAAATTCCATACTGTTTTCCATAATGGTTGTACCAGTCTGCAATCCCACCAACAGTGAACTAAGGTCCCCTTTTCCCCACAACCTCTCCAACACTTGTTGTTTGTTGCTTTGTTTATTATAGCCATCCTGACTGGTGTAAAGTAGTATCTCATTGTGGTTTTAATTTGCATCTCTCTGATAGCTAACGATATTGAGCATCTCTTCATGTGTCTCTGAATATTCTGTATGTCCTCTTTAGAGAAGTGTCTGTTCAAGTCCTTTTCCCATTTTTTAATTGGGTTCAATGTCTTCCTAGAGTGGACGTTTTTTATTTCTTATATTTTACCTAAGATCAACTTATGTGATCACAAGATTTCCTTCAAAATACCTGGTATCTCACCATAGTGGTGGGATGAACAGTATTCTGCAAATGATTTCCTCAAGAGAGAATTTGTATTTGATTTTGCCGGGAGTCGTGGGTGTGCAGCCAATGAAGGACAGATTTAATGCCATTCAGTGGCCCCATAGAATGATGAAACCTAGGTTCAGTTCTTCTAGTTTTAAAGAGATCAAAGTTTAGATTCTGGATCCCAGTGCTGCTATTAGTCTTAGCCCAGGCAGCAGGCAACCTGGCTTTTGAATGTCTGTTTTTTTTATTAAATATCATATTGTTGTTCTATTATAGTTGTCCCAACTTTCCCCCCCTTGCTTTCCTCTGTCCAGCCCATCCTTGACTCCCACGGTCCATCCACCCTGTTGTCCAAGTCCGTGGGTCATTCATTCATGTTCCTTGACTAGTCCCTTCCGCACCTTCCCACCCTTCTCCCCCCCCCACTTCCTTCTGGATATTCTTAATGCTTATTTGTCCCTGCACTCATTTCAGCTCATTCCTCCCTCTTTTTTTCCCTTTCTTCCCTTCTTCCTTTCTTTTCCTCTGCCTCCTTCCCTCTCTCCCTGCTTGGAGATTTCCTTTATTTCTTTGTGTGCCCAACAGTACAGGGTGGGGCAAAAAGTTTTATGGAAAATAATACAATGATTAATAAATGACAGTACATGAATAAACTCTGTGTTCCACATACTCACCAATGTAAAACTACTTTTACCCCACACGTACGTTTTGTTTTGTTGTATTTTATCCAAATGTATAGTAGCGGAGTATCTGGTGTCCCACTATGATGGAGGAAGTGAAAAGTATTTTGAACCCGCTGAGAACCCACTGAGGTTTTTCTCACTGTGAAAGTTATAGACAGAATGAAGTATTCAGTAATTTTGAAGTAATATTACAAACACTCAGAATCCACAACCAATTTCTAATCTTAAATTTGAAAAGAGGACAGCATAAATTAATAAATAAATACAAATGACATGTTGCAGACATGTATATTACAAATAGCATGTCTGTATGAAAGGAAAACTGACTAAATCTACTTTAGATACAGTAATTGTTTCTTCTCTGGAGAAGAAAATGATTAAACGACTCTGTAGTGTTGTGAATATACTAACAGTGTGTTCTGGGATTTAACAGGTCCAAAGGACTATAGCGAAGCAGATTCAGATGGTGAAACAGATTGGCAAAGGCCGCTATGGGGAGGTTTGGATGGGGAAGTGGCGTGGCGAGAAGGTAGCGGTGAAAGTGTTCTTCACCACCGAGGAGGCCAGCTGGTTCCGGGAGACGGAGATCTATCAGACTGTCTTGATGAGGCATGAAAACATTTTGGGTGAGTCTACACCACAGTGCTCAGGGGTTTCTAGCATTTTTCTAATTTTCTGTTAGCATCTGTATATTAACTCATCCATCTAGATCTGTTATGAAATATATAGACATTTTCTTCTTGGCGCGAGCCCGAGAATGTCACAGCTTCTAATGGGAGACGGCACAGGAGGACTGACAAAGGCACTTCTAGGAATGAATGGCGGGGTGGAAGTAGAGTTACTCTTCAGTATTTTTTTCTTGAAGGACAGGAAATGCAAATACAATAATACCAGCATTTCTTAAGGTTTCTTAGGGATTTAAAGGAGCACACTTTTGTTTAAGTGTTGTGGAAAGTTATAAGGATTTTATCTGCAGGGTTTATTTGTATTCAGAGTTTATATGGATAATTGATTTCCTTTTTATTTTCCTAAGTTAGAAATGATCTAGCTGGGTGGCTCAATCACAAAGAGTTTAAGCTAGTCTGAAGTGTTTGACTCAAGTCCCTGTTTAATAATGTCTTATGTGTAACTATAATACCACAAACTATTTACTATTAACTTAAAATAATTTAAATATCAACAATTGATTAGAAAGGAGTTGTATTTTCAGATCAAAACTTCAAAACTCTTTTTTTTAATTCTTAAGAAGATTTTATTTATTTATTTTTAGAGGTGAGGAGGGAGAGAGAAAGAGAGGGAGAGACTCATCAATCAGTTGCCTCTCTTAGGCGCCCCAGGCTGGGCTGAACCCACAACTCAGGCATGAGCTGTGACTGGGAATTGAACCTGTGACCTTTCAATTTCAGGGAAGATGCCCAACCAACTGACCCATATCTGCTAGGGCCAGTGAAAAACTCTTAATGTTTCTCTACCCCTATTGTTCTGATTGCCTCTGATTGGTATTAGTAATTTCATACTGTTAAAGGTAGGATCAGAAAACTGAATGAAATGCTAAACAAAAGACACCTGTGGCAAAGAATGATGGTTGAGCATATGACTTATTCCTGATAAGATCTATTCATAACACACTTAGCTATAAACCTTTTTGTTTTCTTTTAGGGTTTATTGCTGCAGATATCAAAGGGACAGGATCCTGGACCCAGCTGTACCTGATCACAGACTATCATGAAAATGGTTCCCTCTATGATTACTTGAAGTCCACCACCCTAGATATTAAATCAATGCTGAAGTTAGCCTATTCTTCTGTCAGTGGCTTATGTCATTTACACACTGAAATCTTTAGTACTCAAGGCAAACCAGCAATTGCCCATCGAGACCTGAAAAGTAAAAACATCCTGGTGAAGAAAAATGGAACTTGCTGTATAGCCGACCTGGGCCTGGCTGTTAAATTTATTAGGTTAGTATCAAGGTGAACAAATACACTTTTTATGATTCTTTTCTATCACTTTTTATAGATTATGCATTTTATAGTTTAGTGCTTCTAGGATATTTACTAGAGGATAAACTTCTACTAATTTTGACTTTTCTTGGGAGGGAAAAAGAAGAAATATTTTATTTGCAACACCAAGTGGTTCCGTTCTACTATTTCTGTGGCTTCAAAACAACTCCAGTCTATTGGCTGGGTTTGTAGCTGTCATGAAGCTGTTTAGAAAAAAGGTAGCTAATGTCTCAGATTATGTGATCAGAATTTTATGTAACATTCATAAGTAGGAAAAGGTTTCAGGAAAGATCCACAGTTTACGTGGAGATAAAGGCAATGTTTTTTGTCTGATAGAAGAGAGATCACTTGCAGAGGTGTTTTGTGAGAAATGTTAGAAACTAATAAACTAAACACAGCCAGTATTCAGCACTATTATGCTGTAGCTTAAGCAGTGACTTTAACACCGGAACACATAAATCAGCACGAGTTATAAGCTGTGCTGTGCAGACCCTGGGAGGGAGAAGGGGCAGCTCCCTGGGAGATATTCGCTGCCTCCCCTGAATGGGGAACAGGACTGCCCCCAGCTGCGGCCCCGGCAGGCTTGTCCTCTCGGTCTGAGCAGCCCCTTTCATCCTGCAGATGATCCAGTTAGAAGAAATGGTTCCTCTGCTTTGAAAATAAAACCACCAAACAAAATGAATTTCAAACCACTGACTTAGAGGGATCTTCATATAACTACGTTTTTGAAAACTAAAAGGCTTAGCCTTTATTAAATTGTGGGACCTTCTTGTGGATTTTTCCCAAAGGTGACTCTATAAGATGTAGAAAGGGCACAAAGAAAAAGTCATGTAGATTGTTAAAAGTTTGGAAAACTGACACTCATGTGAAAGAACTAATGAAGTCGTATTTTCAACCAGAAGACTAAGGAGTGGTTGAATAATAAGGCCTAAGTATAGGAAGGTCTTCACCATTTAGAGAATGGCAAGTTGAAGTTCTTGATATTTAAAACAGTGCAGTAGGAAATGAACTCTGATTTCTAGATTTCTGAGTTTCTAGAGTTCTAACTGAACTCTAGATTTCAGTTAGAAATGTGAACCTCCTGCCAATAAAGATTATTAAATCCCTTCTCACTTCTGAATTCTTTTCTTTTGTTGTCCTACAACCCTTTTCGAGTCTTTTTTACGAAAAAAAATTTTTCTTCTTTGCTTCTCAAAGTAATAGTCTCTCTCTTTTCTTCCCTTGTTAAATTTCTTGGTGGTTCTTAAGAATAATCTGCTTTCACAAGCCAATAAGTAATTCATAACACCTTATAATTTGGCTTCTGCTCCATTCTCTCCTGAATCTCCTTTATTGAGAGACACCGTTGATCTTTGTCACCATGAGGCTTCTTTTTTTCAAATTTACTGATTATTAGAGAGAAAGAAAGGAAGAGAAGGAGGAAGAGAGAGAAAAAGGCAGAGATAGATATGGAGAGAGAGAGAGACATCGATTTGCTGTTCCACTTATTTATACATTCAGTGATTGATTCTCGGATGTGCCCTGACCCAGGATCGAATCTGAAACTGTGGTGTATGGTGACGATGCTTTAACCGACTGAGCAGCCAGGCCAGGGCTCCACAGGCCTTTCTGATTTACTCTCCATGGTGTGGTGCGTGAGCCTCTCTTCTTCCTGTTTGCATGATGTGCCTTTTGAGTCCTGGTTCACCTTCCTTCTCTCTAGAGGTTCTGCTCTGCTCACTTCTTAGGGGTTGCCCACGGCTAGATTTCCTGCCCTGTCTGCTTTTCCCTCCTAGTGTCCGGTTCTGTTTGATCTGTTCTCAGATGTGAGGTGCCTGACATTTCCTTTGTTCTGAAATTTTCGGTTTGCTCAGTTGGATAAATTCCATCTCCATGATAGTCCCACTTGAACTGGGACAGGTTGGCTCCTCTGTACCATTTTTCCAGAGTCCGGAGTAAAGCATTTTGTGGTTGCTTCTTATTGGTAACTTTTTCTATGTGCTGCTGTCAAATTTATTTTCATGAAGCATAATGTTGGTCATCATAATATTGTACAGGTTCTGACTGCTTTGGGATAAAATCTAGCTTTTATTCTGAACACTTTATACTTTCATCTCCAAGTGTTTTGAACATGCTTTTGTCTTTACCTAAATATACCCAACATCTCCTCTTCTATTTAGGTAACTACTGCTCACCTGCAGTTTCTTCCTTCGGGTGCCTGTTATCATTCCTTTACAATCTGACTCTGTTAACCTCCGTACAAGTGTGTCCTGTGGTGTGGGCCTGTGTGCACCCTTGTGACATTTCTCACATTGGTGTACAGCAGTCACTGACTACTTCACATTGGAGACTAAGCTCCATGAAATTAAAAAGCGTATTTTTCTGAAGTTTGCATCCCTACTGCCTTTCCTTGGTGCCCATTACTTATGTATTGATTGACATTTTTGCCAATCAATACATAAGTAAATGAATGGATAAATGAATAATTTCATAGGCCTACAGGATGAAGGGGTGGGGGAAGCACCTTTTCTTAGCTCCAGAGATCCTAGATACTCTGCATTAAATCCAACTTTCTAATTTTATATTCCACAATTTTCCAACTTGTATGTTTTCTTCAGCAAAACTGTACTGTTTACTTTTCCCATGTATACTCCATGTTGCTGCTGCCTTGTTTTTCATTGCATGGTCTGTGGTTTGGGACAGCCTCACCTCTCCAGATACCTTAGTCCAATCTCAGAGTTGCCTTTAGTCACTCTGCTCACCCCAGCTCAGAAGAACGACATCATCTCTCTACTCCTGTAGCAATTCCTGGCCCTTGACTGTCCAAAATTATAATTATTTTAGTACATTCTCTCCTTTTTACTCATCACTGGGCATCTTGGGAGCAGGATCCGTGCCAGCTTAATTAATGTGTCTCCCATTTGACATGACATAGTGAGTTACTACTCATTATAGATATTCCAGCATCATTTTGAATTAGTAAATGTTGGCATATAAAAGTCATTGAGAACTCATTTTCTTTATCGACCTTAAAACAAACAGAAAGTGAGTATTGCGTTTCTAGAACTTAGTTCTGCTTAACGTAAGGGGAACAAACTGAAGGACCTCTTAAATTTCATGCAAGCCCTGATTCTAGAAAGTGGAGAGGAATAAGAGATAAGCTGGTGACTTATTTGGCGTGTATAGACTAGCTCATCCAGGGAGGGGCGATGCGAGGAGGCTCACCCAGGCGGGGCAGCTGTGGGGGCTGGGGGCACACAGATCTTACTTGGCCGGGGAGTAGCTGTGAGACCATTTGCCATTCTGGGTCTGTTTCCTCTGCCATTAAGTGGAGGTTGCTTTTGATAATTTCAGATGTCCTTTTCACATTTTTATTTTCTATATTTCAAAGGAACTTTGCTGTTCTCAATTTTTGAGCCTCACCTTTAAACCTTGCTTTATATGTTTCTTTGGCTTCCACTCTTTCCCTGACTTTCCTATTTCAGGAGTGCACACACACAGGAATTTAGAGCGTTTTATTACAAGTGGGATCAAAACTAACCCAGGCTTGAGTTCTTGGACCTCATTTGTGAACTTCCTGTGAGAACTTACTCTTTACCCTGGTGTCTACATGGTAAGTGCTCTCTCAGGCTTTTAAGTCATTTCTGGGAGGTTCCCAGGGAAGTTGAGAGCCACAGAGAGAATGGACTGTGCTTTAGTGACTTCCTGCACATAGAATTTTTTATCCTGAATTGGTTTCTTCATGCACTGTCTTGAAAATGATGTAAGTGCTGATGCATTTCCTGGCCAGCAGAGATTTAATCCAGGTGATGCTGTGGCAGCCATCACCATTACCTCAGATCGCTCTTGGGAGGAGAAAACAAGGACGCCTGCAGTCCCTTGAAGGGACTTAACAGAGCTTTTCACTTTTTACTCTGGAGGATCAGGCAACCCTACTGATACTTCAGTGTCAGAATACTATATGTATATATTTTAGGGGGAAAATAAATCCTGGCTTAGGGCCTCTCAGGTATTAAACTTTAAGTAGAAAACCTACAATGAAAATCTGGCTACAACACCCCATCTCCCAGTTGGTACTTATCCAGTTGTCCAAGTGCGAAGGAGACAGCGCAGCCCAGAGGGCAGGGCGTTTCCTCAGTTTTTCTGATGTCGCTATTTTTAGCACTGTGTCTGGTTTGTTTACTTAGTGGTTTTTGAAGAAAGGTGACATGGCTAAATGATTTGCCAAAGCCCCAGAGCTAAGCTAATGGGTGGCTGAGTCAGCCCTCCCAGTCAGGGTCTCTGCAGCCATACCCACCTCCTACTGAAGAGTTTTCGGTTCTGAAGCTCTGTTTGTAAGAAAACTGGAGATTTCTCAGGACTTCATCATAGAAGCAGTGGATGCTGTTGAAAAGTGTGATAGAAAACTCTCCCCTTTACTTAACAAGACTGGGCAGAGCTCAGCTCAGCGAATCAGCCCCACAGGGGTTTACCAGATGCCCAGGAAACACAGAGGGGTGAGCACAGCCCCACCTTCTGAAGGCTTGTGAGAATCTTTCATGCTTTGGGAGGTCATTGCAATCTTCCTAAGAGGTGATTTAATATTCTCTGGTGGTTAACGTTTAATATCCATTCGTGGTTGATTTTAAACACCACTTGTCAGCCACCAGGGAAACCATGGCCGCCCTCACAGGTCTTTTGCCCTCACTCTTCTTTCACTGTTCTTAACAATTCAGTTCTTATTTTTTTAAACACCTTTAGATCATTAAAGATGGTTTCTTCTCTTTCTCTGTGACCTTTTTATCACCCTTCTCCCTCTCTCCTCCCTTTCCTGTCTGTGCTAGGCATCAGACACTTGGCTGCAGGCCCCGCTTGTGCCCCAAGGCTCAGTAGGGTGCAGCTGCCTCCTTGAGCCCACGGTGCAGTTCCCGAGCTGCCTCGCGTGTCCACGGTGGGCTCTGTGTGAGCGTCTCAGGAGACTTTCAGTGTCTGTTCCACGT